GGTCCCGTTTCCGGTTCCGGTTCCGGTCTCGGTGCCGGTCCCGGTCCCCCCTCACCGGCCGGGCGCTGCTGCCGGAGCGGCACTTCCGGGAGGGCGTGGCCAAACCCCGCCCGCACCAATCAGCGCGGGCGCCCCGCCCAGCCCGGACCAATCAGCGCTGCCGCCCCTCCCGGGCCAATCAGCGCCGCCGCCACGCCCCGACCGGACCAATGGGAGGCGGGGGGGCAGGAAGGGGCGGGGCCGCGCTCCCTCCCCTCCCCCCAGCGCCGCGGGCAATGGGCGCGCCGGGGCTCGCAGCCAATCAGGAGCTGGGACGGCGCGGCGCGGGGCGGGGCCAGGAGGGGAGGGGCGAAGAGGGGCGGGGCAGAAAGGGGCGTGGCCAGGAGACAGAAGGAGAGGGCAGGGATAGAGAACAAAGGGGCGTGGCGAAGAAACAAAGGGGCGGGGCGGAGCCCAAAGGGGGCGGGGCTCAGACATCAAATAGGGCGGGGCGGAGCCAAAAGGGGCGGAGCTCAGACAAAAAGGGGAGGGGCTTAGCCACCAAAAGGGGCGGGACTCAGAATCAAAAGGGGGCGGGGCTCAACCAACAAAGGGGCGGGGCTGAGCCCAAAGGGGGCGGGGCTCAGACAACAAGGAGGAAGGGGCGGGAACGGAGCCGGGGGGATTGGGGGAGGGGTCACACACCTGTCACTCACCTGTCACACACCTGTCACTCACCTGTCACACACCTGTCACCTGTCACTCACCTGTCACTCACCTGTCACACAGGTTGGGTTCCCTGGGGGCGTTTTGGGCTCAATCCCGAAGGTTTTGGGGCCGATTTGGGGGATTTTTGGGATTTGGGAACTCCAGGAGGTTTTGGGGTGAATCCCGAAGGTTTTGGGGTCCGTTTTGGGGATTTGGGAACTCCAGGAGGTTTTGGGGTGAATCCCGAAGGTTTTGGGGTCCGTTTTGGGGATTTGGGAACTCCAGGAGGTTTTGGGGTGAATCCCGAAGGTTTTGGGGTCCGTTTCGGGGATTTTGGGGTCCCAGAAATTTTGGGGTGAGTTTCCGAGGTTCTGGGGCCCGAGGCAGGGGTTTGGGCTTTCCACGTTACCTCGGGGTGAATTTCTGGGAGTTTTGGGTCCCACGAGACGTTTTTGGGGTGAAACCAAATTTTTTGGGGCCAATCTCAGAGATTTGGGGGCTCTGGGTTATTTTGGGGTCAATTCTGGGGTTTGGGGGGGCAGAAGGGTTTTTTGGGGCAAATTCCCGAGGATTTTGGGGTCAATTCCAGAAAAATTTTGGGGCGAATTCCTGAGGATTTTGGGGTGAATTCCCGAGAATTTTTGGGGTGAATTCCTGAGGATTTTGGGGGAGAATTCCTGAGGATTTTGGGGCAAATTCCAGCAGATTTTGGGGTGAATTCCAGAAGATTTTTGGGGTGAATTCCCGAGGATTTTGGGGCAAATCCCAGAGGATTTTTGAGGAAAATTCCAGAGGATTTTGAGGAAAATTCCAGAGGATTTTGGGGCAAATTCCCGAGGATTTTGGGGTGAATTCCCGAGGATTTTGGGGTGAATTCCCGAGGATTTTGGGGTGAATTCCAGAAGGTTTTTGGGGTGAATTCCCGAGGATTTTGGGGCAAATCCCAGAGGATTTTTTTGACAAATTCCCAGAGGATTTTGGGGGCAAATTCCCAAGGATTTTTGAGGAAAATTCCAGAGGATTTTTGGGGCAAATTCCAGAAGATCTTGGGGTGAACTCCCGAGGATTTTGGGGTGAACTCCCGAGGATTTGGGGATCTCTCGGGGGGATCTGGGGGTCCCGACCGGGGTTTTTTGGGGTCAATCCGAAGAATTTTGGGGTCGATTCGAGGCTTTTTGGGATCCTGTATTTCTGTACAGCGGGGGAGGGGGCCACGGCTGTCCCCACAATTGTCCCAGCCCGGGATCTGTCCGGGGGATCCTTTTGGGATCCGGGATCCGTCCAGGGATCCAGAGGGGTTCGGGATCCATTCGAGGGGTCCAGGATCCTTTTGGGATCCGGGATCTGTCTGGGGGGGTCCAGGATCCATTTGTGGGGTCCAAGGGGATCCAGGATCCATTTGGGATCTGTCCGGGGGTTCCAGAGGGATCCAGGATCTGTCCAGGTGTCCAAAAAGGTTTGGGATCCATTTGGGGGCTCCAGGATCCGTTCGGGGGGTCCATGGGGATCCGGGATCCATCCGGCAGGGGTTCAGAGTCCGGGATCCATCTGGGAGATCCAGAGAGGCCCAGGATCCACTTGAAGAGTCTGGGATCCATTTGAGGGATCTGGGATCCATCCAGAGAGGTCCAGAGAGGATCCAGGATCCATTTGGGAATCTGGGATCCATCCAGAGAGGCCGAGAATCCATGGGGGGGGGTCCAGAGGGATCTGGGACCCATCCAGGGAGTCCAGAATCTGTTTGAAGAGTCCAGGATCCATTTGGGGGCTCCGGGATCCGTCCGGGGGTGTCCAGGGGGATCCGGTCACGTCCTTGGGGGTCCCAGAGCATCCAGGGGGGAACTGGGCCTGGGATCCACAGCCGGGATCCTGAGTCGGGATCCTGAGTCGGGATCCACAGCCAGGATCCACACCGGGATCCACACCGGGATCCACAGCCGGGATCCACAGCGGGATCCACAGCGGGATCCACACCGGGATCCACAGCCGGGATCCACAGTGGGATCCACAGCCGGGATCCACAGCGGGATCCACAGCGGGATCCACACCGGGATCCACAGCCGGGATCCACACTGGGATCCACAGCCGGGATCCACACCGGGATCCACAGCCGGGATCCACAGCCGGGATCCACACTGGGATCCACAGCCGGGATCCACACCGGGATCCGGCCGTGTCCAGTGACCAGCGCTGTCCTGGGAGTGTCCCTGGCCCTGTACCCAGCTGTGTCCCGGGATCTGTTCCCATCCCGGGTTCTGTTCATGTCCAGTGTCCGGCTGTGTCCCAGCACTGTCCCTGTCCCTGCCTTGGGATCTGTCCCTGTCCTGGAATTGTCCCTGTCTCAGTGTCCAGAGCTGTCCCTGTCCCAGGCCCTGGCTGTGTCCCTGTCCTTGTGTCCCTGTCCCTGTCCCAGGCCCTGGCTGTGTCCCTGTCCTTGTTTCCCTGTCCCTGTCCCTCCTGGGCTCTGGCTGTGTCCAGGGGTGCCCCGGGATTGTCCCCAACCCCATCCCTGTCCCAGGTGTGTCCCCATCCCTGTCCCAGGTGTGTCCCCATCCCTGTCCCAGGTGTGTCCCCATCCCTGTCCCAGGTGTGTCCCCATCCCTGTCCCAGGTGTGTCCCCATCCCTGTCCCAGGTGTGTCCCTGTCCCAGGTGTGTCCCCATTCCTGTCCCAGGTGTGTCCCTGTCCCTGTCCCAGGTGTGTCCCTGTCCCCATTCCTGTCCCAGGTGTGTCCCCATCCCAGGATCCAACGGTGTCCCAGATCCAGCTGTGCCCTGGGATTGTCGCTGTCCCAGGTGTGTCCCTGTCCCATGTGTGTCCCCATCCCGGGATTGTCCCTGCCCCAGGTGTGTCCATCCCTGTCCTGGGATCTCTCCATGTTCGGGATCAGCCAGGCCAGGGCTGTCCCTCGGTGTCCCCTGAATGTCCCTCAGTGTCCCCTGGGTGTCCCTCAGTGTCCCCTGAATGTCCCTCGGTGTCCCCTGGATGTCCCTCAGTGTCCCCTGGGTGTCCCTCGGTGTCCCCTGGGTGTCCCTCAGGTGTCCCCAAAGTGCCACAGGGACCTCGGATGTCCCCCAGGTGCCACAGGACCCACAGTGTCCATGTGGGTCCCTGGGTGCCACCTCGGGCTGTCCCCAGTGTCCCCAATGTCCCCGTGGGTCACAGTGCCATGGGTGCCACCTCGGGCTGTCCCAATGACCTCTGGGGTGGCCCCTGGCCTGTCCCTGATGTCCCCCAATGTCCCCATGGGTCACGGTGCCCCTTGAGGCTCGATGTCACTGCTGTCCCCAATGTCCCTGTGGGTCCCTGGGTGCCACCTCGGGCTGTCCCCAGTGTCCCCAATGTCCCTGTGGGTCACAGTGCCATGGGTGGCACCTCAGGCTCAGTGTCACTGCTGTCCCCAGTGTCCCCAAGGTCCCTGTGGGTCACAGTGCCATGGGTGGCACCTCAGGCTCAGTGTCACTGCTGTCCCTGGTGTCCCCAGTGTCCCTTGTGGGTCACAGTGCCATGGGTGCCACCTCGGGCTGTCCCAATGACCTCTGGGGTGGCCCCTGGCCTGTCCCTGATGTCCCCCAATGTCCCCATGGGTCACGGTGCCCCTTGAGGCTCGATGTCACTGCTGTCCCCAATGTCCCTGTGGGTCCCTGGGTGCCACCTCGGGCTGTCCCCAGTGTCCCCAATGTCCCTGTGGGTCACAGTGCCATGGGTGGCACCTCAGGCTCAGTGTCACTGCTGTCCCCAGTGTCCCCAAGGTCCCTGTGGGTCACAGTGCCATGGGTGGCACCTCAGGCTCAGTGTCACTGCTGTCCCTGGTGTCCCCAGTGTCCCTTGTTGGTCATGGTGCCATTGGTGCCACCTTGGGCTCGCTGTCCCCAATGTCCCTGATGTCCCCAATGTCCCGTTGGTCACGGGGCTGTTGATGCCACCTGGGGCTGTCACTGCTGTCCCCGATGTCCCCAAATTCTCCACTGTCTCCAAGTGTCCCCAACGTCCCCTGTGGGTCACGGTGCCATCGGTGCCACCTCAGGCTGTCCCAAATGTCCCCTGTGGGTCACGGTGCTTCTGGTGCCACCTCAGGCTGTCCCCAATGTCCCCTGTGGGTCACGGTGCCATCAGTGCCACCTCCGGCTGTCCCCAGTGTCCCCTCAGGTCACGGTGCCATCAGTGCCACCTCCGGCTGTCCCAAATGTCCCCTGTGGGTCACGGTGCCATTGGTGGCACTTCGGGCTTGCTGTCACTGCTGTCCTCAATGTCCCCAGTGTCCCCTGTGGGTCACGGTGCCATCGGTGCCACCTCCGGCTGTCCCTGGTGTCCCCTCAGGTCACGGTGCCGTCAGTACCACCTCCGGCTCGCTGTCGCTGCTGTCCCCGGTGTCCCCGATGTCCCCCGGGGTCAGGGCGAAGGGCGGTGGCAGCTCCTCGTCCGAGGAGCCCAGCGAGTCCTCGTCCCCCAGGCGTGTCCCCAAGGCCACCGCGCCGAAGGACAGCGGCCCCCGCAGCAGCCGGATCTGGGACAGGGACAGGGGACACAGAGGGGACAGCAGGGGACAGAGAGGGGATGGCACAGGGCAGGGACAGGGAGGGGACAGCGAGGGGACAAGGACAGGAATGGAGATGGGGACAGGGACAGGGGACAGGGACAGGAGGGGACAAAGCCAACAGAGAAGGGCAGGAGGGAGGACACAGGGGGACCACGCTGTCACCAGCTGTCCCCAGGCCGTGTGGCACTGAGGGGACATCGCCAGGTGCCATCCAAGTGTCCCCAACCTCTGTCCCCTTCCCCAGCCCTCGTGGATGTCACCTGGGTGTCCCCTGTGTGCCCAACCCCCCATGTCCCCTGTGCCTCCTGGTGCGCTCTCGTGTCCCTGGTGTCCCCAACACCCCCAGTGTCCCCAATGTCCCCGATGCCCCCAGTGATGTCCCCAGTGATGTCCCCAGTGATGTCCCCAGTGTCCCCAATGGTGTCCCCATGTCCCACCTCGGCCTTGAGCTGCCGGATGTGGCCCTGCAGGTGCCGGATGTACTGCGCCGCGTCCGAGTGCTCCAGCTGGCCCTGCAGCCGCCCCTCCTCCCGCTGGGGACACCGAGGGGACACTGAGGGGACACTGAGGGGACACTGCGGCCACCCGGCCCCTCCTGTGTCCCCGGTGTCCCTCCTGTCCTCTCCATGTCCCCATAACCACTCCATATCCCCATGTCCCCTCCGTGTCCCCCTGTCCCCTCCACGTCTCCCCCAATGTCCCTTCCATGCCTCCCTGTGTCCCCTCCATGTCCCCACGTCCCCATCCCCGCATGTCCCCCATGTCCCCTCCATGTCCCCGCATCCCCCAGTGTCACCAAAGTCCCACATCCCCTCCATGTCCCCCGATGTCCCCTCCATGTCCTCACATCCCCGTGTTCCCACATCCCCCAGTGTCCCCATGTCCCCCATCCCTCCATGTCCCCGATGTCCCCAGTGTCCCTGATGTCCCCTGTGTCCCTGATGTCCCCATCCCCTCCATGTCCCCATGTCCCAAATGTCCCTATGTTCCCAGAGCCCCCCATGTCCCCTCTGTCCCCAGTGTCCCCCATAATCCCTTCCATGTCCCCAACATCCCCATGTCCCCCTGATGTCCCCGATGTCCCCACTATCCCCCATCCCCTCTATGTCCCCGATGTCCCCACCTCTTCGATGTCCCCGATGTCCTGATGTCCCCAGTGTCCCTGATGTCCCCATGTCCTCTATCCCCTCTATGTCCCTGATGTCCCCAATGTCCCCGTGTCCCCATCTCCCCTATGTCCCCAATGTCCCCACATCCCCCATATCCCTGATGTCCCCCAATCCCAATGTCCCCATTGTCTCCTGATGTCCCCAATGTCCCCATCTCTCCCCATATCCCCATGTCCCCACCAAGTTCCCTTGTCCCCCCAGTGTCCCCAGATCCCCCTGTGTCCCCATTGTCCCCTCAGTGTCCCCCATGTCCCCGTACCTGGATCTCCAGCTCAGCCACGCGCTGCCTCATCTCAGCCAGGGCGTGTCCCCGATGTCCCCACTGTCCCTGATATCCCTGATGTCCCCAATGTCCCCATTGTCCCCATGTCCCCAATGTCCCCATTGTCCCCGATGTCCCCAGTGTCTCCAGAGTCCCCATTGTCCCCTGAGTGTCCCCGTGTCCCCATACCTGGATCTCCAGCTCGGCCACGCGCTGCCTCATCTCGGCCAGGGTGTTTCCCCAACATCCCCACATCCCCCTGTGCCCCCAATGTCCCCATTGTCCCCAATGTCCCCATTGTCCCCGATGTCCCCAGTGTCCCCAGAGTCCCCATTGTCCCCTGAGTGTCCCCGTACCTGGATCTCCAGCTCGGCCACGCGCTGCCTCATCTCGGCCAGGGCGGCCATGCTGTCGGCCTCGCGCAGCCGCACGGCCATCACCTCCTCCTTGCTCTGGGGACAGCGCTGTCACCGCTGGGGACACCCCAGGGACAGCCCAGGGACACCCCAGGGACACCGTGGGGACACCCCCAAGGATAGCCCCGGGGACACTGTGGGGACACCCCCAGGGACACCCCAGGAACACCCCAGGGACACCGTGGGGACACCCCCAAGGATAGCCCCGGGGACACTGCGGGGACACCCCCAGGGACACCCCAGGGACACCCCAGGGACACCGTGGGGACACCCCAGGAACACCGTGGGGACACCTGGGGACAGCCCAGGGACAGCCCAGGGACACCACAGGGACACCCAGGACACCCCCAGTGACACCCAGGGACAACGCAGGGACACCCCGGGGACACTCAGGGACATTTGGGGACACCTAGGACGCCCCAGGGACTGCCAGGGACACCCTGGGGACACTTCAGGGGCACTGGGGACATCCCCGTGTGCATCCCAAATGTCCCCAGTGTCCCCAATGTCCCCAGTGTCCCCAACACCCCCAATGTCCCAAATAGCCCCAATGTCCCCAAATGTCCCCAACATCCCCAATGTCCCCAACATGCCCAACGTCCCCAATGTCCCCAGTGATGTCCCTACTGTCCCCAGAGCTGTCCCATGTCCCCAATGCTGTCCCCATTGTTCCTGATGTCCCCAGAGCTGTCCCTGATGCTGTCCCCAATGCTGTCCCCAGTGTCCCCGTTGCCTGCGTTGCTGTCCCCAGTGTCCCCAGTGGCCGGCGCAATGCTGTCCCCATTGTCCTCATTGCTGTCCCCAATGCCTTCCCCATTGTCCCCATTGTCCCCGATGCTGTTCCCGTTGTCCCCATTGTCCCCACTGCTGTCCGGGGGGGGCATTGTTGTCCCCAATTCCATCCCCATTGTCCCCATTGGTGTCCCCATTGCTGTCTCCGTTGCTGTCCCCGTTGCTGTCCCCATTGTCCCATTGCTGTCCCCGCTGCTGTCCCCAATGCCATCCCCGCTGTCCCCGTTGCTGTCCCTGCTGCTGTCCCCGTTGCTGTCCCCATTGTCCCCGCTCTCCCCGTTGCTGTCCCCGTTGCCATCCCCGCTGTCCCCCCTGCTGTCCCCGTTGCTGTCCCCACTGTCCCCATTGTCCCTGTTGCTGTCCCCGTTGCTGTCCCCGTTGCTGTCCCCAGTGCCATCCCCGCTGCTGTCCCCGTTACTGTCCCCATTGTCCCCAGTGCCACCCCCGTTGCTGTCCCCACTGCTGTCCCCGTTGCTGTCCCCGCTGTCCCCATTGCTGTCCCCAGTGCCATCCCCGTTGCTGTCCCCGTTGCTGTCCCCAGTGCCATCCCCGTTGCTGTCCCCATTGTCCCCGTTGCTGTCCCCATTGTCCCCGCTGTCCCCGTTGCTGTCCCCGTTGCTGTCCCACCTTGCACTGTGCCTCGGCGTGTTTGCGGTGGCTCTCGCTGAGCTGCGCCTGCAGCCCCTGGCTCTGCGCGGCCGCGGCGCGGAGCTGCTCCCGCAGGCCGGCGCAGGCCTGCTCGGCCCGGCCCAAAACCGACTGCTGGATCCGCCCCTAAACCGGGACAGACCCGGGATTAACCAAGATAAACCCAGATGAACCCGGATAGACCCGGCCCAAAGCCAGCCCTGCTCCCGCAGCCCGGCACAGGCCTGCTCGGCCCGGCCCAAAACCGAGCCTGGGCCTGGCTCTCGCGGAGCTGCGCCCCCAGCACGGCCTCGTGCAGCGCCCGCGGCTCCTGCCAGCGGCCCCCGCACACCTGGGGGGGACAGGGGACACGCCGCGTCAGGTGACACACCTGGGACACCTGGGACCCACCCTGGGACACCTGGGGACAGCTGGGGACACACCCTGGGACAGCTGGGGACAGCTGGGGACACACCCTGGGACAGCTGGGGACACACCCTGGGACACCTGGGGACAGCTGGGGACACACCCTGGGACAGCTGGGGACAGCTGGGGACCCACCCTGGGACACCTGGGGACAGCTGGGGACCCATCCCCTGGGACACCTGGTCAGGTGACACACCTGGAGACAGTTGGGGACCCACCCTGGGGACACCTGGTCAGGTGAGACACAGTTAGGGACACCTGGTCACAGCTAGGGACACATCTGGTCAGGTGAGACACAGTTGGGGACACCTGGTCACAGCTAGGGACACATCTGGTCAGGTGACACACCAGGGGACACCTGGTCACGGCTAGGGACACATCTGGTCAGGTGACACACCTGGGGACACCTTGGGACACGCCTGGTCAGGTATAGGCACACCTGAGGACACCTGTTCACAGCTGGGAACACATCTGTTCAGGTGACACATCTGGGGACACCCCCTGGGACACACCTGGTCAGGTATGGGGACACCAGGGACACCTGGGAACCCACCCTGGGGACACCTGGTCAGGTGACACCTGGGACACACCCGGTCAGGTATGGGGACACCTGCGACAGCCTGTACCTGGACAGGTACAGGGACACCTGGGGACTCACCTGGGGACACCCAGGGACAGCTGGGACACCTGCCAGCTGTCCCCGATGTCCCTGATGTCCCCAGTGTCCCTGTCTCACCTGCCAGCTGTCCCAGGTGTCCCCAGTGTCCCTGTCTTACCCGCACCAGCGCCAGCTCCCGCCGGATGACGTCGTTCTCCTCGGCCTCCTGCGCCCGCGTCACCTGGCCCTGGGGACACAGGGACATTGGGGACATTGGGGACAATAGGGACAGTGTCACCTGGCCCTGGGGACACAGGGGACATTGGGGACAATAGGGACAGTGTCACCTGGCCCTGGTGACACAGGGACATTGGGGACACTGTCACCTGGCCCTGGCAACATCACGGACATTGGGGACAATAGGGACACTGTCACCTGGCCCTGGGGACAGCGGGGACATCAGTGACACTGTCACCTCCTGCACCCGCATCACCTGGCCCTGGGGACATTTGGGACAGTGGGGATTTGGGGACACTGTCACCTGGCCCTGGGGACACAGGGGACACTGGGGACAGTGGGGACACTGTCACCTGGCCCTAGGGACATCAGGGACATTGGGGACAATAGGGACACTGTCACCTGGCCCTAGGGACAGCGGGGACACTGGGGACACTGGGGACATCAGTGACACTGTCACCTGGCCCTGGGGACATTTGGGACTTTGGTGACACCGGGGACACTGTCACCTCCTGTGCCCGTGTTACCTGGCCCTGGGGACACAGGGGACTTTGGTGACACAGGGGACACAGGGGACACTGGGGACACCGGGGACACTGTCACCTGGCCCTGGGGACATTGGTGACACAGGGGACACTGGTGACACCGGGGACACTGTCACCTGGCCCTAGGGACAGCGGGGACACTGGGGACACTGGGGACATCAGTGACACTGTCACCTGGCCCTGGGGACACAGGGGACATCAGTGACACTGTCACCTGGTCCTGGGGACAGTGGGGACATTGGGGACAATAGGGACACTGTCACCTGGCCCTGGGGACACAGGTGACACCAGGGACACTGTCACCTGGCCCTGGGGACACTGGTGACACAGGGGACACTGTCACCTGCTGCCCCCAGGGCAGAGCCAGCGTGGCTGTGGTGGCACTGGGGCACAGGGAGGTGACAGCAGCCCCGGGAGGTGACACTGGGGACAGGAGGTGACACTGGAGGTGCCACCGGCCCCGCGGGGACCTCCAGGGCCGTCTGTCCCCTCCCCCATCCCAAATCCCCAAAATTCCCCAAAATCCTCCCTAAAATTCCCCCAAAAATCCCCCAAAAATCCCCCAAAAATCCCCATAATTCTCCCCAAAAATTCCCAAATTTTCCCCAAATTCCTCCCCAAAATTCCCCCAAAAATCCCCAAAATTCTCCCCAAAAATTCCCCCCAAATCCCCAAAAATTTCCCCAAAATTCACCAAAATTCCCCAAAATTCACAATTCCCCTAAAATGCCCCAAGCCCCCAAAATTCCCCCAAACCTTTCCCCAAAATCCCCCAAAATCTCCCCAAAATTCCCCAAGTTCACCACAATTCCCAAAAAATTCCCCCAAAATTCCTCCAAACTCCCCCAAAATTCCATCAAACTCCCCAAAATTCCCCAAAATTTTAAAAACACCACCAAATTTCTCCCAAATTTCACCAAAAATTCCCCCAAAAATTCCCCCCAAATTTCCTGAAAATCACCCAATATCCCCCAAAACGACACTGTCACCTGGCCCTGGGGACACAGGTGACACCAGGGACACTGTCACCTGGCCCTGGGGACATTTGGGACACTGGTGACACAGGGGACACTGTCACCTGCTGCCCCCAGGGCAGAGCCAGCGTGGCTGTGGTGGCACTGGGGCACAGGGAGGTGACAGCAGCCCCGGGAGGTGACACTGGGGACAGGAGGTGACACTGGAGGTGCCACCGGCCCCGCGGGGACCTCCAGGGCCGTCTGTCCCCTCCCCCATCCCAAATCCCCAAAATTCCCCAAAATCCTCCCTAAAATTCCCCCAAAAATCCCCCAAAAATCCCCATAATTCTCCCCAAAAATTCCCAAATTTTCCCCAAATTCCTCCCCAAAATTCCCCCAAAAATCCCCAAAATTCTCCCCAAAAATTCCCCCCAAATCCCCAAAAATTTCCCCAAAATTCACCAAAATTCCCCAAAATTCACAATTCCCCTAAAATGCCCCAAGCCCCCAAAATTCCCCCAAACCTTTCCCCAAAATCCCCCAAAATCCCCCCAAAATTCCCCAAGTTCACCACAATTCCCAAAAAATTCCCCCAAAATTCCTCCAAACTCCCCCAAAATTCCATCAAACTCCCCAAAATTCCCCAAAATTTTAAAAACACCACCAAATTTCTCCCAAATTTCACCAAAAATTCCCCCAAAAATTCCCCCCAAACCTCAAAATAATCACCCAATATCCCCCAAAACTTCCTCAAAATTCCCCAAAATTCCCCCAACACCCCCCAAAAATTTCCCCCCAAATTCCCTAAAATTCCCCTAAAATGCCCCAAAATTCCTCAAAATTTCCCAAAATTCCCCAAAATTCCCAATTCTCCTAAAATGCCCCAAACCTTTCCCCAAAATTGCCCCAAATTCCTCAAAATTTCCCAAAATTTACCCCAAATCTCCCGAAAATCTCCCCAAAATTCCCAAAAAATCCCCCCGAAATTCCCCCCAAAATCCCCAAATCCCCAAAAATTTCCTCAAAATTTCCCAAAATTTACCCCAAATCTCCCGAAAATCTCCCCAAAATTCCCAAAAAATCCCCCCAAAATTCCTTCAAAATTAAAAAAAACACCAAAAATTCCCCAAATTCCCCCCAAAATTCCCCCAAATCCCCCCGAGGTGCGCGGGAGCCTCCGGAAAAGCGGGAAAAAAAGTTGGAAAAAAAAGGTGGGAAAAGGAAAATCCCCCCCAAAATGGGGCTGGGGGAGGGAGGAAAAGGAGAAAATAAATCAGGAAAATAAGTCAGGAAAATTAGGGAAATAAATTGGGGAAAAAATTGGGAAAATCAGGAAAATCAATTGGGAAAATCAAGAAAATCAATTGAGGAAATTGGGGAAAAAAATTGGGAAAATCAGGAAAATCAATTGGGGAAAAATTGGGGAAATAAATTGGGGAAATGAAGGAAAAAATTAGGAAAATTGGGGAAGAAAATTGGGAAAAAATCAGGAAAATTGAGAAAAAAAAGGGAAAATTGGGAAAATAAATTGGGGAAATTGAGTAAAAATTAGGAAAATTGGGGAAATAAATTGGGGAAATAAATTGGGGATATCAGGGAAATAAATTGGGAAAATAAATTGGGAAAATCAGGGAAATATCAGGAAAAATTTGGGAAATTATCAGGAAAGTATTGGGGAAGTATCAGGAAAATATTGGGAAAATCAGGGAAATAAATTGGGAAAATAAATTGGGAAAATCAGGAAAAATCAGGAAAATCTAGGGGAAGTATTGGGAAAGTAATTGGGAAAATTGAGGAAAAAAACAGGAAAATAAATTGGGGAAATAAGGAAAATTGGGAAAATAAATTGGGAAAAATAGCAGGAAAATTGGGAAAAGTATTGGAGAAATCTTGGGAAAATCAGGGAAATAAATTGGGAAAATAAATTGGGAAAAATATCAGGAAAATTGGGAAAATCAGGGAAATAAATTGGGAAAATAAATTGGGAGAATATCAGGAAATTGGGAAAGTAATGGGAAAATATTGGAAAATTTTGGGAAAATCAGGGAAATAAATTGGGAAAATAAATTGGGAGAATATCAGGAAATTGGGAAAGTAATGGGAAAATATTGGAAAATTTTGGGAAAATCAGGGAAATAAATTGGGAAAATAAATTGGGAGAATAATGGGAAAATACAGGGAAAATCAGGAAAATTGGGAATGTAATGGGAAAATATTGGGGAAATATTGGGGAAATAAATGGGGAAAATTGGGAAAATCAATTGGGGAAATTGGGAAAATCAATTGGGGAAAAAATGGGGAAATTGGGGGAAAACATTGGGGAAATAAATGGGGAAAATTGGGGGAAAATTGGGGGAAAAAGGGAAATTGGGAAAATCAATCAGGGAAATAAATGGGGAAAATTGGGGAAAATCAATCAGGGAAATTGGGAAAATCAATCTGAGGAATTGGGAAAATCAATCGGGGAAATCAATTGGGGAAATTGGGGAAATCAATTGGGGAAATCAATTGGGGAAATTGGGAAAAAATTGGGGAAGAAGTTGGGGAAATTGGGGAAAGCAACGGGGAAAGGTGGGGAGAGGGAGGGGCGGGAGATCGTACCTGGATGAGCCGATCGGCCAGGGCCGCGCTCTCCTGGGGAGGGACACGCACAGCTCAGGGACAGGGACAGGGACAGGGACAGCAGGGACAGGGACACACACAGCTCAGGGACAGGGACAGGGACAGGGACAGGGACAGGGACAGTGGGGACAGGGACAGGGACAGGGACAGCGGGGACAGGGACAGGGACAGGGACAATTTGGGAAATTATCAGGAAAGTATTGGGGAAGTATCAGGAAAATATTGGGAAAATCAGGGAAATAAATTGGGAAAATAAATTGGGAAAATCAGGGAAATATCAGGAAAAATTTGGGAAATTATCAGGAAAGTATTGGGGAAGTATCAGGAAAATATTGGGAAAATCAGGGAAATAAATTGGGAAAATAAATTGGGAAAATCAGGGAAATATCAGGAAAAATTTGGGAAATTATCAGGAAAGTATTGGGGAAGTATCAGGAAAATATTGGGAAAATCAGGGAAATAAATTGGGAAAATAAATTGGGAAAATCAGGGAAATATCAGGAAAAATTTGGGAAATTATCAGGAAAGTATTGGGGAAGTATCAGGAAAATATTGGGAAAATCAGGGAAATAAATTGGGAAAATAAATTGGGAAAATCAGGGAAATATCAGGAAAAATTTGGGAAATTATCAGGAAAGTATTGGGGAAGTATCAGGAAAATATTGGGAAAATCAGGGAAATAAATTGGGAAAATAAATTGGGAAAATCAGGGAAATATCAGGAAAAATTTGGGAAATTATCAGGAAAGTATTGGGGAAGTATCAGGAAAATATTGGGAAAATCAGGGAAATAAATTGGGAAAATAAATTGGGAAAATCAGGGAAATATCAGGAAAAATTTGGGAAATTATCAGGAAAGTATTGGGGAAGTATCAGGAAAATATTGGGAAAATCAGGGAAATAAATTGGGAAAATAAATTGGGAAAATCAGGGAAATATCAGGAAAAATTTGGGAAATTATCAGGAAAGTATTGGGGAAGTATCAGGAAAATATTGGGAAAATCAGGGAAATAAATTGGGAAAATAAATTGGGAAAATCAGGAAAAATCAGGAAAATCTAGGGAAAGTATTGGGAAAGTAATTGGGAAAATTGAGGGAAAAAAACAGGAAAATAAATTGGGGAAATAAGGAAAATTGGGAAAATAAATTGGGAAAAATAGCAGGAAAATTGGGAAAAGTATTGGGAAAATCTTGGGAAAATCAGGGAAATAAATTGGGAAAATAAATTGGGAAAAATATCAGGAAAATTGGGAAAATCAGGGAAATAAATTGGGAAAATAAATTGGGAGAATATCAGGAAATTGGGAAAGTAATGGGAAAATATTGGAAAATTTTGGGAAAATCAGGGAAATAAATTGGGAAAATAAATTGGGAGAATAATGGGAAAATACAGGGAAAATCAGGAAAATTGGGAATGTAATGGGAAAATATTGGGGAAATATTGGGGAAATAAATGGGGAAAATTGGGAAAATCAATTGGGGAAATTGGGAAAATCAATTGGGGAAAAAATGGGGAAATTGGGGGAAAACATTGGGGAAATAAATGGGGAAAATTGGGGGAAAATTGGGGGAAAAAGGGAAATTGGGAAAATCAATCAGGGAAATAAATGGGGAAAATTGGGGAAAATCAATCAGGGAAATTGGGAAAATCAATCTGAGGAATTGGGAAAATCAATCAGGGAAATTGGGAAAATCAATCAGGGAAATTGGGGAAATCAATTGGAGAAATTGGGAAATCAATCGGGGAAATTGGAAAAATCAATCGGGGAAATTGGGAAATCAATTGGAGAAATTGGGAAATCAATCGGGGAAATTGGGAAATCAATTGGAGAAATTGGGAAATCAATCGGGGAAATTGGAAAAATCAATCGGGGAAATTGGGAAATCAATCAGGGAAATTGGGAAATCAATCGGGGAAACTGGGAAATCAATCGGGGAAATTGGGGAAATCAATCGGGGAAATTGGGGAAATCAATCAGGGAAATCAATCGGGGAAATTGGGGAAATCAATTGGGGAAATCGGGAAAATCAATCGGGGAAATTGGGAAATCAATCGGGGAAATTGGGAAAATCAATCGGGGAAATCAATCGGGGAAATTGGGGAAAAATTGGGGAAGAAATTGGGGAAGAAGTTGGGGAAATTGGGAAAATCAATCTGAGGAATTGGGAAAATCAATTGGGGAAATCAATCGGGGAAATTGGGGAAGAAATTGGGGAAGAAATTGGGGGAAAGCAACGGGGAAAGGTGGGGAGAGGGAGGGGCGGGAGATCGTACCTGGATGAGCCGATCGGCCAGGGCCGCGCTCTCCTGGGGAGGGACACACACAGCTCAGGGACAGGGACAGGGACAGGGACAGGGATGGGACAGGGACAGGGACAGGGACAGAGACAGGGACAGGGACAGGGACGGGGGTTTTTTTGGGTTCCATGGGGTTTTTTGGGATGTTTTGGGGGATTTTTGGGTTCCATGCAGTGATTTGGGTTTGGTTTTTGGGAGGTTTTGGTTTTTTTTTTTTGGTTCCATGCAGTGCTTGGGGTTTTTTTTCAGCTCCATGCATTTTTGGGGGTTTTTGGGGGTATTTTGAGGTTTTTTGTGGGGTTTTTGGGTTCCATTGAGTGGTTTGGGGTTTTTTTTTTGGGGGGGTTCTGTGTGGTGTTTTAGGTTTGGTTTTTTTTTTTGGGTTCCACGCTGTGTTTTGGGATTTTTTTTTGGAGGGGGGGTTTGGCTTCCATGTGGTTTTTTGGGATGTTTTGGGCTTTTTGGGTGTTTTTGCATTCTGTGCAGGGTTTTGGGTTTGTTTTTGGGGGTGTTTTAGGTTTTTTTGGGGTGTTTTTGGGGGTGTTTTAAGGGTTTTTGGGGTTCCATGTGATGTTTTAGGGTTTTTTGGGTGGTTTGGGGTTTTTTGGGGTGTTTTTGGGGGAGGTTTTTGGGGTCCTCACCTTCTCCAGGGTCTCGATGCGCTGCTTGAGCAGGCGATTCTCAGAGCGGAGCCGCTGAGGGGACACGGGGGACAGGGAGGGGACAATGAGGGGACACAGAGGGGACAATGAGGGGACAATGAGTGGTGACCCAGGTGTCCCCAGGTGTGTCCCCAGCTGTCCCCAGGTGTCCCTGCAGTGTCTCCACGTGTCTCTGCAGTGTCCCCAAGTGTCCCCAGGTGTCCCCAGGTGTGTTCAGGTGTCCCTGCAGTGTCCCCAGGTGTGTTCAGGTGTCCCTGCAGTGTCCCCAGGTGTGTTCAGGTGTCCCTGCAGTGTCCCCAGGTGTCTGTGTCACCTTGATCTCGATCTGCTCCTCCATCTCCTTGCTCTTGAGGGCGGCGTATTCCTTCTCCAGCCTGGGGACACAGGGACAGCTGGGGACAGGGATGGGGACAGAGGGGACAGGGAAAAGGATGGGGACAGGGTGGGAACATGGACAGGGGACAGGGACAGGGATGGGAAAGGGACACAAGGCCAGGGACAGGGACCAGGATGGGGACAGAGGGGACAAGGAGAGGGTAGAGAGGGGACAGGGACAGAGGGGACAGGAACAAGGATGGGGACAGGGACAGGTAAAGGGACAGAAGGGACAGGGACAGAGATGGGACAGGGTGAGGGGACATGGACAGGGGACAGGGATGGGAAAGGGACACAAGGACCGGGACGGGGAGAGGTGACAGGGAAAGGGACAGAGGGGACAGAGAATAGGGACACAGGGACAGGGAGAGGGAGGACACAGGGACAGAGGGGACACAGGGGACAGGGCGACAGGGACAGAGGGGGCAGAGGGATGGGGGGACAGAGGGGACACAGGGACAGAGGGGACAGAGGGGACAGAGGGGACAGAGGGGACACAGGGGACAGGGCGACAGGGACAGAGGGGGCAGAGGGATGGGGGGACAGAGGGGACACAGGGACAGAGGGGACAGAGGGGACAGAGGGGACAGAGGGACAGAGGGACACAGGGACACAGGGACACACAGGGGACACAGGGACTCAGGACACACAGGGACACAGGGACAGAGGTGTCCCCTACCTCTTCATCTTGCGCGGGTTGTACTTGACCTGGCAGGCGCGCAGGATCAGCTTGTCCGGGCACGAGTCGAACTGGTGAGGGATCACCTTCTGGAAGTACTGCGGGAACACGGCGTCACCGATCGGGGACAGCTCACACCGAGAACGGGACAACTCACACCGACTGGGGACAGCTGACACCAGCATGGGGACAGCTGACACCAACTGGGGACAGCTCACACCGAGAACGGGACAGCTCACACCGACTGGGGACAGCTCACACCAACTGGGGACAGCTGACACCGAGAACGGGACAGCTCACAGCAACTGGGGACAGCTCACACCAACTGGGGACAGCTCACACCAACTGGGGACAAGCTCACACCGAGAACAGGACAGCTCACACCAATTGGGGACAGCTCACACCAAAAATGGGACAGCTCACACCAACTGGGGACAGCTCACACCAAAAATGGGACAGCTCACACCAATTGGGGACAACTCACACCGAGAACGGGACAGCTCACACCAGCATGGGGACAGCTCACACCAACTCCCAAAGCCACCCCAAGCCCACTCCACCCCAAGGTCCCCCCGAGGTCCCCAAGCCCACCCCACTGCCCAAAGCCACCCCAAGGTCCCCCCAGGGTCCCCCCGAGGTCCCCAGGGCCACCCCACGGGCCGTACCTGGGACATGCCCTCCATGTCCAGCTGCACCAGCTCGGCCTGGTTGAACTGCAGCAGGGCCATCCCCACGCGGAACACGATCTCCAGCCCCTGCCAGCGCCCCGCCCGGTCACCGCGGCCACCAGGGCCACCAGGGCCACCACAGGGCCACCAGGGCCACCACAGGGCCACCTCACCCCTGCCACCGCCCTGCCCGGTCACTGCACCCACCAAGGCCACCCCAGGGCCACCTTACCCGTGCCACTGCCCCGCCCGGTCACTGCGGCCACCAGGGCCACCAGGGCCACCACAGGGCCACCTCACCCCTGCCACCGCCCTGCCCGGTCACCGAGGCCACCAGGGCCACCAGGGCCATCACAGGGCCACCCCAGGGCCACCTCACCCCTGCCACCGCCCTGCCCGGTCACTGCACCCACCAGGGCCACCAGGGCCACTCCAGGGCCACCTCGGGTCACTGGGGCCACCCCATGGCCACTCCACCCCTGTGATGACCCCAGCCAGTCACTGCGGCCACCAGGGCCACCCCAGGGCCACCCCAGGGTCACCTTGGCTCAGTGGGGCCACCCCAGAGCCACCTCACCCCTGCCACTGCCCCACCCGGTCACCGAGGCCACCAGGGCCACCACGGCTACCCCAGGGCTACCTTGGGTCATTGGGGCCACCCCGGAGTCACCTTGGGTCATCCCAGCTCACCACGGCCACCCCAGGGCCACCCCGGGACATTGGGGCCACCCCACAGCCACCCCACCCCTGCCCCGGGTCATTTAGGCCACCCCAGAGCCACCTTGGGTCAT